ACTTCCAATCCCGAATCTCTTTGCTACAACCGATTGGTCAGATCCGCCCGCATTGGATGACAATCTAGCAAAACAATTGGTAGCTACCATCAGCTTCTTCCTCAAAGAACATCAACGATTTGAAGACGCTGGCTCAGCATTAGGCCCGATCGGAAGTTCAAACATTCACCTCACCGAACTGACTCGCAAACAGAGTATCCATTCAACTAATCATACTGCATCGCCCAATGGTCCACCTAATCACAATTTTCACCAGCCCTCGCGAGATCTTGAGGAGAAACCGATCGTACCATCCTTGATGAGTGAGATCCTAGCACAAGTTGCCAAGATATGCTTTTTCGTCTCTGCATCAAACTGGACAATCGTCTTGGGTAAAATTAAGAATCGAATAGCCTATTGGTCAGGACCTGAAGAGTTTCCAGATCGTTCGGAGACGCGTTTACTCGAATTTTGTTCTCTAAATCGATTCAGACTCTCATCGATCATACGAGAACTCTCTGCTCAATTTGTTCATCTCCAACGTCCTGCTCAATCTGACATTGCATTAGCATTAAGGCGTTCAATATGGAATTGGATTGAAACTTATCCCCACGAATATGTCGCCCTCGTTCGCTCCAATGGTCGATTGGAAGGTGCTCCGGATGTCCTTTTTGATGTGGCTCATAGTCTTTCTGAAAATGGCAAGAAGAGGGCTTATACGTGGCCCATGATGTCTATGCTTCTGGCAGTCTGTCCCGATATCGTACTTAAGATCGCTGCAGGAGACCGTAACCGATCACAAGTGACTGCCAGGAAAGCAGCCTTTATCGAAAGCTTGAGAAAGAATCTCAAGGTTACCAAATTAGCTGATGTTGCAACTGCTTGCTGCGTTGATCTTTGTAAAGCTGCGACATTCTCTCCGAAGACAACGGCTGAAGGCCCTGGGCTTAGGTTACTTGCTCTAGATTTAGTATCAGATTTAAATTCAAGACTATTAGATCCCAGCAAACCGTTCACTAATGCAGACGGAATCGTCGAAGTATCTCTGATGTCAGAAGCCTTGGCAGCCCTGTTCAAGCTCGACCGACATTACGTGAGCTCAACCTTATTAGACAAGTGTTTATCTCGGACTAGTTTCCCACCCTTCCAGATCGCTTTCATCCAAGCATGTCAAAAACTAGCCGCCAAACCTGCTCACGAGACCAACTCGTCTAACGATCCTGAACCTGAAGATGACCAAGAT